AAACAAACAGACTCGAAGACAGCTCTTGTACGTGTTGGTATTTCGATGTGGTAGCGTGTTGAATTGAATCTTGGCTCCTGCACGCACAGAAGACTCCGAAGAGCCAACTCCGCAGGTCTCACACACTCAGAAAACCACTTCCCCAGGCAAGAAACTAAGGCTCGGCGGTGGGTGCTAACTCGTATAACTCACACGGCTCAAATCGGCAGGGCAGCAGGGCTTCACGGTTTAACGCGTGCTCCTCTTTCATGTCCGTTTGCGAGCGCCAGAGGAGGAAATCTAAGCGTTGACTACAAAGAGAACTGTTTGCTTGCAGAGCAGGAATTTGACTTTTGTTCCGCCCCGAACCAAGACAAGAGTGTTGTTGTGAATTGCCACGTCGAGATTGCTCTGCATGCCACGACACGATTATGGAATGCGTAGGGTGGGACTGAATCGTATCGTGTGTGGGAGCACTTGACTTGCTGTCAGAGGGGCGAAGCTAACATGCATTGTTGCATTCATGCAAGTTGTCCGGTGGGACAACGTTTGATCTTCTCGAGATGGTGGTTCTGACATTCTGGTAATGAAATTGAAACTCCATGCTGCTGGGTGGCATCAGACTTCAAGCCCAGCTTCCAGAGCCCATGGAAAAGCTGCAAGGCCTGCGATAAGCACTGCAAAACGACTGCGAGGGCTGACGGCAAAACGCATGTGAATGTCATAGTTGAACGGAGCTTGCACCCAGTCTTAACGCAGCTTGCTGCCATTTCTGTCTGAAGCTGCCTGAGCCGCAACTGTCCACTTCAAATCTTGCAGGGTGGGCCTGGTGCCATGCTGCTGCAGTGGCACAGGCACTGATGGCCGAGTTCACCACGATGACATCCTGCCAGTTAAATGCTCAGGCTGGGCCCAGGACCGAGCAGCGTCTCTCACAACGTGACAGTCTTCGCCGAATCTGCGCTGTGGACAGTGACAAAGCTGAACCCCGAAGCTCAAGTTGTCGGTACAATTCAGGAAAAAGTCAAGCTGTTGAAGCCTGGCTGCGTCGGCTTGCGAAAGGCATGTCACGACCAAGGCGCCGACACTTGGAGGAGAACTGCAACTCGTGCACAAATGCTAAACCTTTCATGTCCAAGGGGCTACTTGCAGACTTCGTCCCTCGACGCCAGAAAGCAGACAAAGCGACTGCTTCCAAGCACCACCTGATCGAGCCGAGCCATTTAAGGGCGCACGTGCTTCATTTTAGGTTCCGCTGCTTCGACTCCTGAGCCCGTTTCTCTGACATAGTTGTGGCACGGGCCGCCGGCTGATGGAAAAATGCGAATGCAACACCAGCAGCTCTTCTACATGTTCTGCGTAGTGTCACTTAGCTTCAGGTCTGGGCCTGCCTTCATCGCGGGCCGGATGCGCGGGGTTTTACAAGACGCCTCCTATTAACTTTGCCCCTCTCAATACGCTCAATCCCTCAAATTCTGTGTCAGAGCAAGAGCAAGGGGTAAGGGCAACGGGGCTTGAAAGGTACCGGCAAGCACCCATAGTACCGCAGTGATCACACGCACAATCTCAGGCGGATGTATCCGGTAGCCCCGTCCAAGATTTTCATGTGCACCCTACCCTCGAACACCGATTCGAACAGGTCCCATGTTTCGGGAAGTTCTCACGCAAACGAGAAGCACAGTAGCTGCCAAACAGCATCAAAGAAGATCAAAGAGACGTACGACGGAGGATGTTCACGAAAAGCAGCGCAATCACCAGGCCACACGCTATGCTGCTGGCTGCTGACATGTTACGATCGATCTCTGTATGTGCATCTGGCCGCCATGTAGCAGTCCGTTTCGGATTTGTAACACGACGCCAGGATTGTATGCCTTTTGTTTGTGCGAAGGCTTGCTTGCCAAGTGTGCGTGCCCTGCCCTCCGGCTCTGATCCAGTCGAACGAAACAGGCTTGGAGGGTTAGATATGCTTGGATGTTGGGTCTGAATGGGCACGGTTACAGTAAGGGTTAGTTATTTAGGAACAACGGTTAGGAGCCAAGGATGGGGATATCAAAACCGTGTGCGCAGGTGGGGATTGCCATAGCAGGCACAGTGAACATGGGGGAGCTCAAAAGAAGAAGGTAGAACACAAACAAAGGAAAAGCGTGCCTTCCAGATGCCGTCACCGTGGGACAGTCGGGATGGGGTCAAGACAGGTGGTTGCATAGGGCTTATACAGAGATTCAAATCTGTTCGTCACCAGGACACCCTTATCACAGACCGTGATTGCGGCGCTGACGTGGACAATGTTCGCCTGCAGGCAAAAGGCAAGAAGGACTGTGGCGTGCGCTTGAGAGCTGCCTCCAGAAACGAGTCGTCCAGGTCCCTGAGCAGCTGAAGCGCCTGCGCAGCTACGCTGATCTCTTGACTGGTCCGCAGCTGTCACCAGCAACCCGGACCCCCATTTTCCTGCCGGCGCCTGGGGCCAGGCTGCATGGGAGGCACAGGCGCTGATGGCTGCGCAAACTGCCACTCCACTGTGGCACCCCAGCCGTCCAGCAAGAAGATGCCTCATGAAGTTTGGTACACTTTTGCAATCGTAGCACATTGCAGATACCGGTGCCGCAGTCTGAAGCATGACTAATTGCCAATCAGGGTGCAGTGCCAATTGCCACTGTTTGCTGCGTGCGCAGCTGATGATGTCGTGGGAGTGGTCGGTAGCCTCAACATGGGGCATACACCACAGAGTGGCGACCAGCCTGTGACGGCTTCGAAAAACACCCTGGCTGCTGCGGGCAAAATGAACGACCACGGCAGTTGAACAAAGTTTTGATCGAGAAGCTTGCAGGGAATCTGCAGCCCAGGAAGTTGGGCGGACTGAATCTTGTGGCATCTCGCCCAGGCATGGCAAGCGAATTCGTCTGGATTCAGAGAGCAGTAGGTGCAGCAAGGTTGAGGCCTGCTTCTGGAAGCAGTAAGCACACAAATCAGTTTCCACTGCCAAGCTGAAAGTAGCCGGTTAACCTTTACCAGCGGTGTACGCCATAGACCTTGAGCCTTGGACGGATAGTGAAAGCGACATGATGTGCGTAGGCCATGTGCAGTTTCCCTGCAGCTCTACTGCCGCGGTCATGGGTCCATAATGCACCTTCTCTGAAATTCTGCCTCCCTGCCGTCCCAGATGAGGCGCGCGCCGACATCACCATGGCACGGTTGCGCTCCTGCCGCTCAAGCTGATGCTTTCATTGCTGCGAGGTTCCCTTCGGAGTCTCTGCCCGTCCACCACCAAATCTCTGAACCATCTGTTTCTACTGATTCTATACTACTAGCACGCATCACCACTCACTGCAGCACTGAGCCGCGACATGGATGCTTTTGCATAGGAGTCAAAACTCAGAGTTCAGGGAGAAGCAGCGATTGTGACAAACCGAGGTTGGGACTGCCAGCCACGAGCTCAGCGACTGCACGGACTGTGCCTGCCATCTTCCGGTTTGACGGAAGCAACATCCGTGAATCCACCAACAGGTACATGAGCCTGTCCTCACGCAACACTGACTGAAAAAGCAGCCTGCCCATCATCAGGAAGATTTCGCAACGATACAGTTGCCTGGCAGCTGTGCAGGCTTGGCTTGTGCAGGTCTGCGGCGCATCTTTGCAGGGCGTGCAGGCATTGCCACTTGCAGCGCAGCGCAGGCCTCGTTGAGATCGATTTCCACAACGAGCCGCACTCCCTTGGCAGTTGGGCACGGGTCGGCTGCTCTAATGCAAACAATCCTCGCCCGATGTGTTCAACATGCAATGTGTCAATGCAGCGTGGTCTGCTATGGTCTTGCAGCAGGTTTGAGCTTCAGCGCAGGAGCCTCCACGAGCATATCAAGAACAGTCAGGAAGCGGAAGAAGGGCTCACCTGGCAAAGGTCAAGTTGCTGGCAGGGCGTAGCTACCAATTGGTCGCGAAGGCAGCATGCGGATGAGACCTCTTTGCTGCTCGAGCTTGCCTTCGAACCCATTGTGGATGCGTTGTGCAGAACTTTCGTGACCCAACCAAGCAGGGCTGACTTTTGCCGGTCATCTCCTGCCAGAGCGACAAGCCGAACCAAATAACCGGTTCGAAAGATGTTCTGGAGTGCTGCTGTAGAGCCATTCGTCCAAGTGTTACACTGTTACACGATCACATGATCAACGGAACGCCGAAGTGTGTCCTGTGTCGCCATACCATCTGGAAAAAGCCCTTCCCACAACACTAGTCACTACTGGCTGCACACTTCTTGCGGCGCACCCCGAGACCCAAAGGGCGGCAAACACCTGGTTGGCCAACCTGACAGGACGGCCGTAGGGTCATCGCACATTCCTTTCCACCGCTCGCCAGCATGCGCATGCGGAAGCGATTCAAGACAACAGCCTGGAACGCGACCCCGGCGGCCGGGTCAGCCATCAAGCCAACCTTGAGAACGCCAAGTCATGCCAGCAGTGCTGCAGGAGACACTGGCAGGTGAGCCAACAACAAACCCAAGAAAGGACGGCAACTTTTTCGAGTTCCCTTGATTCTGATGTGGCCATCCTGCATCAGCAGAACAACGGCACAAGACAATTGCCAGTCCTGGCAAAGCGGTCGATTTTGATTTCTCCGATGCGGCTGGTCCTGTTTTCCAACTGACGTGACTGCACAGCTGCACAGCAGCATAGTCTCGAAAAGATCTCTGTACAAAGGGGCAGTTTCCGAACCCTGGTGGCTGGAGGCCGCCCAAGTCCAGCTTTGATTTAGGGGGGGCTTCCAAATCAAATCTCCTTGCAGGAGCAGTACAGTACTGGAAAGTGAAAGGCTTGCAGCTGTCGTGCTCCGACGAAGCCTCTGGGCTCCGTGGGTCTGGGAGCACATTTCGACTAGCTGGACGGCCGTTACATTTAGACTTTGTCGGATCAAGCTTGACATCCTTCCAATACCAGGGCCTTGAATCTGAATCTTGAACAGAACACAGCTGACTCGTTACTTGCGTTAGTTTGTGCACCTAGACCCAAGGGCCAGCTACGGGTCGGTCGCCATTACGGCTCAAAGAAAGCACGGTTAGTCAGCGAGTTCCACCACCACAACGTCTCAGGCGTGTTCGGGTCACAGAACTGATACCAGCATGATGTCTCGGCTTCGTCAGTGTAGAACCAATCGTTGTTGCGGGGGCAAAAGAACCAATGCCGGCCCTCGGCATCTTGGTACCGCTCCCACACTTCCAAGATGTAGTCCTGCGTTCCCACCTCGCAAGTTCAAGTTTGCATCACACACCCATTTTATGAGCTACCTGCGGTTGTGATCATCGCTCTGTTTGGAGCCTGCTCTGCACGCGGCCGCAGATCTGGCGGCTCCTGGCACAAGCATTGCAAAAGCAGCGTCACCAGGCTTGGCTAAAAGGAGGCTTTTCTGGCCAAATAACTATGGGCTACTGGCTAATTATGGCTAATTACAGAAATGATATGCTACAGAGGCTGGGCGAACAGTAAAGAGCCGTTTTTTGCTCGGCACCGGCTATTTGCCCAACTGCCAGGAACTTGCGGGGCATCACAGCTACGACATTGAAACGTGTATGGAAGCGTTCTGGAGCAGATGTTCGCGAATCGGAATCACCCCGCGCGCCGTTCACGTAGCTCTACATTCAGTGCTGGATTGCTTGGCCAAGTGCAGTCCTCACCCCTCGGCACGCTTGCGAGGTCTCCGGAAGGCACTGGCTCTTCCCCAGGCTCCGGTGCCTCTTGAAACGGCTCTGGCACCTGTGGACACACGGCATCACAGCAGTGCTGGGCAAATGCCGACGAGAAGGACTGTAAGCAGGCTGCTTGAAACCTGAGTCTTGCGAGTGTCTACTAGCAGTTACTAGCACATTCTAGCACAGTCACATGCATTGGCTATTCGGGCAGTCATGTTGCCAGGCCGAGTCTCTCACAAACGGTGCGATTTGTAGGACCCTGTCGAAGTGGCGCCGAATGTTCCGTGAATGTGTGCAGCCAAGGATTTCGCAGTCGAGCCGGTGCACCGACTTCCCGGTCGTGAGACGTTGGTTGAGTCCTCCCTCCACGTCCCGGTCCATGTGTCACCATCCCGGTGACGATCTTGCTACTGTGTTGACGTGTGTCGGTTTTGTCGTCTTAGTGATATGATGATAGCAACATTCACCACGATCCAACATGCATACCGGCTGAATCGACATCGATTGATTTCTCGGTCGATGACCCTAACGCTGGCGCCAGGAATGTCGCCTCGAATACAATGTTTTCCAGGTCTTTCGGCTTCAACTTCAAGTGCCTGACATGCCGTTTCGCAGCATAGCCGCCGGTGCGAAACCGATCCGACAAGATCGCAGAACTTACTTCCTTGTGTTCATTGCTGAATGAGTCGGGGGTACATGTGTGCTTTGCAAGTTTGACGCTGTCATTGCTGTTCGTGTACTTTCAAGAATATGTCGGCTCTGCTTGGGCAAAACATATCCGCCGACCCCCTTGGTGGGCTGCGCCAGTGATATCCCGAGAGGTTTTTTCGTCACCGCCCCCACCACCCTCACCGCCCCCACCCCCACCACCCTCACCGCCCCCACCAGTTTGCGGCCACCCACATCGCCTCCACCACCCACACCGCCTCCACCAGTTGCTGCCCCGTGCTCCCCACCGTTCCTAGCATTCCTCCACTTTCTTAGGTGTTTAGAAAGCTTGCGGCCACCCACACCGCCTCCACCCACCCCACCCACACCGCCTCCACCACCCACACCCCCCCCGCGCTCTCACCGCCCTCACCGCCCCCATCACCGAAAAGGCCCTCACCACCCCCACCGCCCACACCGTGCTCCCACCACCCTCACCGTCCCCACCACTCTGCTGCCCTTCCCACTCACACGGTTCCAGGCATAGGTGTTTAGAAAGTATTTAAAGGCTGCCAATGCGTGCCCCCACCGCTCACACCCTCACCACCCTCACCACCCCCACCAGCTTGCGGCCACCCACACCGCCCCCACCAGCTTGCGGCCACCCACACCACCTCCACCACCCACACCGCCCCCACCATCCCCCCCGCCATGTGCCACCACCAGCTTGCCCCCGCCGCGCCCTCACCGCCCCCATCACCCACAACGCCGTGACCGCCCCCACCACCCTCACCGTCCCC